TCAGTTATCATAATAAGCGTAAAATACTTAATATGATTTCATATACGTGCCTTTATTAGTAATTTATCTTGGTGTAATTATTATTGCTTATGGTCCGTTTAATATTATAAACAAGGTTATACGTTTATGTTTAAAGTATAAACTTCAATAATAACGTATGACTTTAAGAATATTGTTTTAAGGTATCATGTTATACGTGTTTATTTGCTATAAAATGTAAAATATTAATAATGCTTTGTATGAAACGTTTAAATGCATTTTCGGATACAAGATGCAACTATGGTTTGCAACATAAATATAATTACACGTTACTTGCTGTAGTAAGCAGTATCTACAAACACGTCCTTTTACTTCATTAGTAATCCATCTGCAGATCGTTGGTTCGAAACCCGTTTGGCGTTTATTACATATAGGTATTACAGTATGTTAATTTAAATATTTATTGCACAACTGCACTTTGCAATATATTATCTAGGTATTTATTTATTTGCAACACCAACACTTTGTTTTATAAGTGAACAGGAAATGTAAGTGTATAATACTGTATCCGATGGGTTATGCATATACCTGCATGTAGACGACAATATCATAAGAGGTATAGAGGTCGAACTGCAGTAAATACGCACCGATAATAATAATTCATAATATAGGCTTCTTGGAATCGTTTTCTTTCACGTGCATCTATTAACCAATAAAGCATCGGTTACATGCAATCGTTATACGGCCATTTCTAAAGGAAATTAGGCGTACGGTGTATGATGTCGAGACGAGACCCCATAGGGACGCGATCGCAATTAAAATAGCACATAAATAATAAACTAGAACCGTAATAACTGCACGGTGTCTCTCGAGTGTATATTACTTACATGAAAAAGGAAAAAAGACGTGGCCTCCGTTACGGGATGGTTGTCCGTAAAACGTTACCAATAACATGAAGTAATGTGACGATTTTCGACGAGGGAAAAAAAAATAAAAACTCCGCTGCGATGAATCGAAAAAGGTTCCATCAGACTGCAGCTTATCGATGGGGAGGGTTGGGAGGGGCTACGTGTAATAACAATGATAATAACAATAAAACGGCAGCCGGCGCGTATCCATCCGTCTGTAATACGAAATAATAAACGCAGGTGAAACGCGCGACGGAAAATGAGAAAACAATTATTCGAAATGCCCGTGCACGAGTACAAGTTGGCAGGCAGGCAGGCAGGCAGGTACCCGCCGCGCGCGTATATTGTAATGTGTACATCGCACTACGTACCTATAAGGTCATCGCTGGCTGCAGTAAAAAAAAAAAATTATCATTAACGGAGTCCCACGATGTCGGTTCGTCCGCGTACGCTTTGAGTCGGCACAACGATTTTTATTACCGTTGACCGCGAGCATCGTGTGTGCTGCAATATTACACCATGATGTGTTAGGTATACGTCGTGCGCGCTCCGATGTATTGTGTTTCGATATTCCTTATCGACACGCACCAACAGGGGCGGCTCCAGAACCTTGGTTAGGGGGGGGGGGAAGTTATAATTTTACAAAATCTTATAACAAAAGGAAAACAACAATTTTTACAATACAAATTCAAATCGTCAATTTTTAAAATTGACAAAAATATCAATAATATGATCTATTTGATCTAATTTATGATATACATTAATTAGACATAATGCTGATAGTCTATCTTCAGTCATCCTTGAACAAAGCCAGGTTTTTAGTCTCCGAAGAAACTCCTTTCAACCGTCATACCTCTATGGTTTTGTCTATATACTTGTGCGTGTCGTATGATAGTCCATATTATAAATAATATGCATTTTTTTATAAATACGGTACGTGCTTGGGAGGGGGGCGAGACCCCCTGGAGTCGCTCTTGCGCACCGGCACCTAACTTGTGTACATGTTTACCGCTTGCGTAGGCCCGAATATTGCTAAAATGTAACGCGCGATAAGACGTTTGTAATTCGTATGCGTGAACTTTTACCAATCGTACTAATACGCTGCTTATGTAATCGGAATGTGACACGCAATATTTATGTTTATAATATAAATATTGTTAAGTAGACCTGTGAGTCAATGTCAAAAAGATCCTTTTTATGTTAGCCGCCCCTTGAAATTCGCCGCCGTCGGCACGTGCCTACGGTTACTGCCGCGTGTAGATACGGCACTGCGTAGACGGTGTCATTACGCAGTTATGCGCGTCGAGACGCGTTTCGTACGTACACACCGCGTGCACAAACTTGTCCGGGGCCACTGGAAACCTTATGCAAATCCGGAATAGGTATGAGTATTTGAAAATATCTATGCGTGTAAAAAATCTATACACGCGCGCATAGACCTGGTCGACGGCGGCGGGTAGAGCGTATATTACTGGTCCATTAACGCGTTACACACCTCATCGAAACACGCCCCGGAGCACATTGGATATTATTATTATTATCTATAACTATTTCGAATATCGGGTGTCCCGACACAATACGTTCGCCGCGGCCAATATTCCGTTAACCCGTTGCGTGGTAGCACCACCACCACTCGATACCGCGTTACCTCCCACACGGCCGCCGCACAAAGGCGAACCAAATGCCAAGTGTATATATGCTTTCGCGCCGGTGTAATTATATCGAGTGGCGCGTGACCTTTTTCCCGTAGCTGCCGGGCTCCGGACTCGGCCGACCGGTGAAATACGTTGAGCACGCCTCGTACGCGCTTTCGAACTACCTGCGCCATAAACGAGGTTATCGGCAAAGCTGTAAATTTTTTTTTCTTACGCGTTCAAACGTTACGTACACATTTTTCAATGCCGTTTCAAGGTACTACCAAATCCCTCGCGGAGCTGTGCGTTTTTTTTCCCATCGATTTCTACGTCGTCACCACGCATTATTATTAATATTATATTTCCGGCAGTGGAATATTATGCGTGTAGGTACACATATGCACGTTTGTACGACTGTGCGTATAAAATAACGCATTGTATTCCCCTGTTCCTTTTTTTTTCTTCTTTTTTTTTCCTTTCCTCCCTGCCCCAACCCATTTGTCCACCTCTAGCTAGTAATGGCCGTGTGTGGTAAACGTACGTCATATGTGTACACAATATTATTGTACATAGTACATGGACCACACGCGCACACTAAGAGCCGTCCAATAATACCTCCACGAGGGGTCCGAAAGCAAATCCTCGCGTACGCGCCTCCACGAGGGCTTCATCTCCTGGACGCGCGATTTCACTCGCGAACGGAAATATGTATATATATTTATAGCCGGCAGCTGTGTCGGTGTTGTTAAGTGATCGGTGATCGGCAGCGGTGGCAAAACGAACGGTCTGCCGGAGAGTGGCGGGGCGAGGAGCCAATCGTGCGCGAGTGGGGTCGGTAACATAACCGAGGGGACGAGAGAGAGAGAAAGAGAAAGAATGATACAACGTGAGAGAGCAATGGAAAGGGGTCAAGAGAAAGAGAAGGGCGCCAGAGGGGAAGAGAGAGAAAGAGGGAGTGAGCGAGACGGATAGGGTGAAAGAATGATAGACGTCGGCGAGCGAGAAAGACGGAACTGTTATCGCAGACCTGGTAACGGGTGTTACGTAATGGTTACTGCTTGGTTAGAGGTTCCGTCATCTGCTCGCCGCTGCCGCCCCGCTTCCATCTCTCCGTCAAGATGAAATAATAATAATAATAATAATAATCCAACCTCGGAGAGTTTGTTGATCTCTAGCGCGCGCGGCGCGGTCTCGGTCTCGCTGCCCTTCACCCTTGCAACGCCGCTTCCTCTACGTCGACGACACCGCCCCACCGCGCCGCCGTCGACATTGACGCCAACATCCGAGAACGGAACAGCGCACGGGCACAGCCGACGACCGTGATCGGACCGCACCGCCGCAGCCGTTCGTCCCTCCCCCCTCGCCCGCCGCCCGCCTTCCGCCACTATTCCGCGCAACGATTGCAACCTTTGTTGTGTGTGCGTGCGTGTGTGTGTGTTCGCGCATGCGTGCGTGTACGTGAACGTGTACGTGTGTGCCTGCGTGAACGGTCGTCGCGTGCGCGCGCGTGTGCGAGTACCTGCATCGCATGCACCGCCGCCGCCGCCGCACAGCAGCGCGTAACACACACACGCGCGCGCCCGCAAGAAATGCGTACGACGTCTCCGACGGGTTAGGCACGTGCGTGTGCGTGCGTGTGATTGCGTGTGTGTACGACAGCCGAACGTGCTTGTGTGCGCGCGAGCCCGACCGAGTGTGTAGATGCAAGTCGGTGGCGACGACCGTAGTCTTGTGCGCTGCGTACATGTAAGCGTAAGCGTAGGAAAGCCGCGTAGGTAACAGCGCACCCGCCGCCGTACGGAAAATGGCCGGAGAAGTGCGATTCCGATTGAGCGACAACCGTGAGTATAATCGTCGTAATATTTGCTCTTGCTTGCTCGCAACCATCCCGTTCGCCCTGCGAACTGCGTCGTACGCACGGGGGTTACGAGGGTTTTTTTTTATTATTTTCTTTCCAAGTGTTCCTATTGCACACGCCAAATTATTGAAATAACACGCGGCCGGCGGGGAAAAAATATTATTACAATAATAATAACGAACCCTTGTCGTCGTCGTCGGGTCGTAGATTATAACGGCCGTCGTTCTACGATCGTCGCATCGAATCGAGCACCCCCCGACATAACGCAATTGTCCGTAGGGGTCCCGTACAAAAATCATTGTTCCCGTGTGTAACGTTCATGTGCCCGTGTTTTTCCCAGAACACTTCTATTTTTCCAGAACTCGTGTTCGAATTTTTCGTTCGTCTCGCACCGGCACATTCGTTCTCTCGTCGGACTTCTATCTTTTTCTCCCGGAGCTTTTCGGTTTTTCCCGTCGAGTATTTTTTCTGCCGTTAGCCGCCACTTGTCTCTAAAGCTTTACTTGAAGCCAGGCTATAACGGGTATATATTACGTATAAAATTATCGATTTTCATATTCAATACAATGGTTTCCCGTCGCTTTTTGGAAAATTCATTCACGTCATTAATTAATGTTCTAGACGTACGTAAGCTTAGCTAATTACCTACCTATATACCTATATACTACATTATGTCCACGATATATTTAACGATGTTTTTCATTCATCATATACGTAATGAAATATATGATGTGAAATATTCGCGTAATCTGCCCTCGGGTGCCGCGTATTGATATTGCCGTCGTAAATTGTACTCGCTGAACATTTTTACGATTAGTAATGAAAAAGTATTTAAAGCTCGTAAAAAAGTTCTCGTATTATTATTATTTTTTACATCTCTGTGTATGGTGTGTATATTGTGTATACAACGTGGTATTTATGTTATACATAATTTACGGAGTTTTTGTAAAACTTATTAACTACCTAATTATTAACCACAATTCTATGTCAGTTTATTTACCAATATTATATATATATATATATACAGTGGCGTATCCATGGGTGGTTAGGGGGTTATGTCCCCCCCCCGAAAATGTTTCGTGTATGTATATTGTTTAATGATTATAATAAAAACACAAAATTCAAAAAGAATTTAATGTTACATTTTTTATAACCCCCCCCAAAAAAAAATTCTGGATACGCCACTGTATATATATATATATATATATATATATATATATATAAATACATATGTATATTTACTTATACATTTTTAGCAATCGTTTTTAAAATAATAGATAACCCATTTTACTTTGAATCGATATTAATGGTAGCTTAATAGTTTTATTGTAAATAATTTTCGATTTAGGGTACCAATTTAACTAGGCAATTTAACCTGGCAAAGTTAATTATAAGTTGGAAATACTGAATTTTTATTTCATTAAAAGTGCATATTTTATGTACCTATTAGTTATTATTATAGAATTAAATAATTAAATAATGTATATAAAATATATTCTGCCAAAATAAAAAATAAAATAATTACTTTAAATATAATGAAAAGTTTAAAGTATATGCAAGGCAAGATTAAGCTATTTAAGCTAATTAAGCACCTATTGGGCCTCGCGGCTGAAATTTTATATGGACCCTTTTGACAAAACATGCTTTACAAAGCTGCTCGATATGCTTGTAGAAAGATAAACTTTTTTTTAGCTATTTCACAAATTGTCAATTGCATTATAAAATTATAAAATTAATAAATAATTAATTAATTAAAATAATAATAATTTATGTCTATAAAGCTACTAATTTTAGTATGATAAAAAATATGTATCGGCTTAAAATGGTTTGGGCCCTTTTCACTTGGGTATTCGAAAGGGCTTGGGGCTGCCGCCCCGGCTAGACCCACCCCCTTAATCCAGCCTTGAGTATATGCTTATCTTATTGCTTGACAATTATATAATTTGACAAAAAAAATTTCGAAAAATAGACCTAAATCTTGTGTAATTTAGGGTCGGTCCTTATACTAAATTATAATTATATTTTACCTAAAAAAATTAAGTTAACAGGCATCTATCTACATATTTCACTATTTATATTTATTAATTATAAAAGCGAAATAACTGAAATCTTGTTATGCTTTTAAATTTTTTTTTACTGATTAAAAATAATATTTTGTCAAATAAATCAATTCAGTTATAGGATTGAACTGAAACAAATTGTCTTAAAAGTAATTTTGATTTAAAGTGGCCTTACTATAGTAATATTTTTAAATAAATGTTGTAATATAACATGTCCTTACTCTACAAAAAGTTGATTAAATTATTATATTTTAATAAATTATAAACTGATATGTATATACTATATAAATACTCTTATAATTTATAAAATTAATACTGGTCAAGTAAATTAATCATAACCTTGCCAATTTTTTTTTCTGTCAATAAATAAAATTATTATCTAAAGTGTGTTATAACTACTCAAGTAAAATGGGTTTTACTAACAATAACCTGATCTATTTAAGGCTATTAGAGTGATATTCTAGAATTTTAGTAATTGACATTTTTTTACATTACATTTTTTCAAATATACTGCTTATATGAACTGTAGTTAATAATTTTCACCATTTTCAACTATTTTTAATTATTTAATATAAGATAATAATTACATAAAATAGTTTACTTTACGAAGAGCATAATAAAATGCTGGGTTTACAACTAAGGCTTTTAATTAACTTGCCCATGAAATGTATTAATTTTAAATATCTATAAATGGGATTGTATTAATTTGTAATTGCTCATTATTTTGACTCCTAAGAACTAATAACTTTAATAATAACTTATAATTTTATTCTATTATAAATATGAATTTAGATTAATTGTCTGGAACATAATGGATTATTTTGGTTCATAATCAAATGTGTATACTTATTTGTACTTTAGTTGATCCACTTCAAGCGCTTGATATTTGCCATGAAATTGTCAACATGACATTTTGTTCAGACAGAGCTTTTACCTTGAAAAAATGCAGTAAAAAAAGATGTGTTGATAGATATGATAGCTCTGAAAGCTCAGACAGGTATGTACTCTGCTTATAACCTATTTAAGTTTTAAAGAAAATTTAATTTCAATTAATGTTCCAAGAATATTTTAGTATTTTAATGTTTACAACATTCTCGTATTAAAATTGCACCTTATTGAATACATTTTAGTAGGTATTAATATAAACATTAAAATAAAATGAATATATATATATATAGTAGTAATAAAGATTTATCAGTAAAAGCTTTATGCTGAAATAATAATATATTGCTAAAAAGATTAATTACACTATAATATAATTTATGATACTATTCATACCTCAGAAATTTACCAAAAATTCATGTTGAATATTTTTTTTCCGATAAATTAATTTTATTTTGGTATTTTTATATTACAGATTTAAAAGATTTTAAATATTTCCATTAAGTATCCATCTGTAGTGAATAGTATTGAATAATTTCTAATGTTTATACTTAACAAATTGACCAGCATCTAATATAAGATTACAAAAATTGATTTATAACTTCAATTTATCAAACTATCAAATTTTTAAGAAACAAAATATTTGAATTTAAAATTATTATTTTTTCAGTGGTGTTGCAACTTTTATTACTGAACTTGGGTCACCTATGACTCCAGATAGTAGGGTTAGTGAATATTCCATTCCTTCTCCAGATGAATGTGAGCCAGTAATGGCACCACCTCCAACTATACCAAGTTCTGGAGACGAAATTGATCTAGCTTGTTGGCCATGGGGTGAAGAATGGACCGCTGATTGTTCTAATATTGAATTATTTTCTGATACTTGTGATACTACTGATTATTGTAAAGAAGATACAAGCATTGCCAATAATGAACTTAATAAAAATGTAGTACAGGATGATTCATGTAATGATAAATTAAATATTTTTCAAAATTCCTCAAAATTAAATGATTTGTTTAATTCATTACCACTAGCTCAATGTAAACTGATTGAGTCACCTGCTAAATCAGATTGTGATTTTGTTCCTCCTAAAAAATTTCTTGTTTCTGATGAAGAATCGCCGACAAAATTTACACTGAGTAGTTCTGATGAAAAATGTTCAAGAGACATTTCATCTCTAGAGTCCAATATTTTAAATAATGAAAGTATATTAAAAGATGAAAAATCATTACTGCCTTTACAGTTTTCGCCTAGTACTCCCCTAACGTGTTCCGATAGTTTTGATAAGACTGAATTAAAATTATGTGAAGATCATACAGACAACAGTATTCCAAACAATTTCAAAAAAGATGAAGTCGAAAAATCAAATAGTGGGAAAATAATTAATACATATACAAATGAAAATTTTAAATTAAATAAAAAAATTTCTAATAATGAAAATGATGACATTAATCCACCTAAGAAATTATGCGTTGATCAATCAAGTAAGCTGCCAAATATAGGTAGATATTTTATGAGATCATCTGGATCTTCCCAAAATTTATACCAATCAAAGATTCCTCATTTATTAGACCAAAATAAAAATGTACAAGGTAAATTAACCTCATCAAGGTTGAAATGTTCTCTTCGAAATTCAATCAATAAAAATTATCAATTTGACAATAATGAACCAATAAAAAAAAATGAAAAACTTAGTTGTTCTAAGTCAAAAATTAATCCAGTAGGTTTTAACTCTGATAAAATAAGATTTCCAAAATTGGATAGTCATTGGATTTCTCTCAGTGGAAATATTGTTTGTCGTTGGAATAATTGTGATTGTCATTTTACTGCTTCTGCTAAACTCATTGAACATCTACAGGTATTTAAATATTTAATATTAAATTTCAATACTATTAATTAAAAATACATTTATATTTTCAGGTAAAACATGTGAATTCTCAGAATTTTTGTGAAACATTTGTATGTCTATGGTCTGATTGTAAAGTATTTAATAAACCATCGTGTTCGCGATCATGGCTTGAACGCCATGTGTTAAGTCATGGTGGAAATAAACCATTGCAGTGCATTGTTCAAAAATGCAGACAACGTTTTAGTTCTCAAGTAATTATATTTATAACTTATAAAATGATTACAATATTAAGTAGTTTCATTTATATTTTTCATAATGGTAATTATGGGTTAATAAATATAAATTATATTTTGAGATCTTATATAAAAATGAGTGTATATTTATTTATAAGAAAAAATTTAAATCATAAATAGGAGAGTTAAAAAATGATAAAATCAAATAGAAAATGTACTGTAGATGTTGCTTATTATAATCATTTAATAATATCTGACTGACGATACCTAGATACTATCTATAATACTTAGATGTTAGTATATGTATATTATAAGCAGAGCTTTAGAATTTTTCTTTTTGTAACAATAAATAGTTGAAATCAATTTTCATAGAAATTATTTTGATATTTGTTGTTGATATTGTCCACTATAAATCCTTGATAATAATAGTTAATAGTTAGTTTGTTAAATTTGAACCAGAAATGTATAGTAATAAATTAAATGATATTTTTTACATTTTCATCCTATCATTGAACAGATATTCATTTACATAAATTATTGAAAGTAAGGTAAATTTTACATTTAGTGTAGGTACATGATAAAATGGTTGTTCTAATTGATTTACATTAAATATCTTGAAAATGTGACTATTTCATGTTTTCATTTAACATTTCACAAGAATGAAATCAAAATTGTGCGGAAATATTTTCAAGAACATTAGTTAAGTTATCCAATAGGGCCCTTTTTCTTGCGCGATTTGAACGTGGCATTCCACACTCGCGGGAAAGAGTGTGCGTTTAAACTTAATTTATCCCACAGACTTCGATCGCGAGTATTCTGTGCGGTTTATTCTTGAATCTTGGAGTGTTGTTTAGTCTACACGTGTGTGGTTTTTCCACACGCCAAGCATACAAGATAATTAACTATCGATATAAACAAATCATCGATATACTCATATATTAATAATCGATACCGATAGATATACTATCGAGGTAAACATTTGTTATCAAACTTGTTGTTTTCAAACTGATGAGTGACGAGTGCCGACTGTTCAAATAACGAATTTTAACTTTTCATTCTAAATAAATATACATTTTTATATAATATAAGTACTAGATCTTCCTTTTTGTGCAATCGAAAATCAACATTACTATTATAGAAAAACATTAAACTAATTTATAATAATAATAATTAATATTTTTGTGATAGCAAACCCATTATCTAATTAATAATTTACTGAAAAAGTGTAGGTATTTTCAACACGCCTAATGCCACGCCATTCATGCGTGAAAGACACAGTTTTAGCTTTTACACAGCCACGCTTTCCTTCATTCCTAGACCACCAGGTAAAGAACAAGTGCCTGGAGTGTTTGATAATTTGCTACTACACCCTTGGAACGCTACGCGCCTATCCGTCGTGATTGACTACATGCCTGGCGCGCGAGAAAAAGCGTTCGTTCAAAGGGCCCTATTTATTATTATATTATTATTAGGGCCCTAGAATGGTAATGTACATAACTTTTACGCATATCTAATTTCATCATTCAAAATGTTACACTGTTCTTATCGATGATTTCCTTTCACAATTCATGATAAGCTATTATCAGTTAGTTAAGAATTTTTTTTTAGGCGTTTTGTCACATTTTACCTCCAACTCTGTGTATGATAACATCCACTAAACCTCCATACTTAAGCAAGGGTGCCCATATGAGGGGGGGGGGAAGGGGACATGCCCCCCTGGAAAATGTCAAAAATCTTGGAAAATTGTTTACTATGATCAGAATATATTTATTTAAATAGAATTTAAAAATTTAATTTAATATATGAAAATTTATAATTTGTTTATGAAAAATCTATTTATTTAGTTTGAAAAATCAGGTTATCAATTATAAATAACAATAAGGTTTTTCGTTTTTATTCCACGGATAATTATTAATTCTTAAAATATTGTGTATTTCCAGAAATACGGTATGTATATGTGTGTATGTACACAACCATAATATTTATATAATATTTGTAAATTAATATTTTAATAAATATAATTAATGTTTAAAGTGTCCAATTTATATTATTAATTAAATAAAAATTTCAATAAATTACTTTTATGGTAAATTGGTTAAATAATTATTATTTTATAGTCTTCCAGTTTGATATATATAATGTATTAGTATAATGTAAAATTGTAAACCCCTTCCTATATCATAGGTCATTCCTATTTAGAATTTAGATTATGAATAGATTGATAAATTAAAATGTTGTCCCCTTGAGAATTTTCTTATGAGCGCCCTTGTATGTAAGTCTTACGTGTAGTTACTAATAAATGTAAATTGAACTACGTAAAATATACGCATGTTTACCAATACGCATTAAATATTATGTGTATATTTTACGCATATTTACCAATACTTTGTCAATAATAGCTGATAGTACAACTATTGTTCATATTTTGAATGAACCATCGAAATATGAGACTGATAGAGTTAGTGATATGGAGGAAGAACAGGTTAGTATGGTAGTGATGAGAATCCAGACTATGTACTATATGAGCAAAATTTGCAATTAGAAGTAGAGGTTAGTAAAGTAGTAAGGAATATAGAAAACATACGAAACAATTTTGTAAGAGAAATAATATTTCTACATCTGAAATAATTATGGATAAATTGAGTAAAAATGTGATAGTAATAAACATATTATAACGATTCCGAATACCTCAACAATTTTATTGATTTAAAAAATAGTTTATGGATGTTAATGTAATATTTAATGCTATACACTAAGTAACAAAAAGGATATACTATATTTGTTTTGTATTTTTTGGAAATACATAGGAATAATATGATAAAAACAAATTCATGTATATGTTATGCATCGTTACCCATAGTGTGATGTAAATTAACATTACTATTTTAGGTTTAAGTTTTATCAAGTTGTTATATCTCTCTTTTCTTTTACATAAAATCTTGAATACAGATCAGGGTTAGTTGCTTTTTTTGATCAGAAAGCTAATATTTTATATACAATAACTAAGTAATAAAACTGTGTTTGATGACTTTAAAAATAAAATTATTTAGTACTAATGCTACCTTACTATTACAATTTGACAGAAAAAATTTAGTGATTTTTCTGAAATAATGTTTCTAAATATGTAATTTTATGGATTTTCTTGGCGGTTACATTTTTTTTTAGTATTTTAATTCTAGATTTTATTAAAATGTATTTAAAATTAAGTAAGTAATTTATTTTGAGTTTAAATACTGATTATATTAATATAAGAATTGAAATTATATATTGAGTTTTCCATTTTTAATAAAATAATAAACAAGAAAAAGTTATAAATTATGAATTAATCTGAATGTGAAAATGATGATTAAAATAGTTTTTTGAATGCGATATAATTATGATTTTATACAAATAATACATACTCAATCCTAGTATCTAAATGGTTATTTTTTATAACATTTTCAGTATATACTGTACTCATATATAGCTTTCAACAAAATCAGTAATTAAAATTATATTGAACATACATATATTTTTTAACAGTTAATTATTTTTGTAAATATGATTTATTACTATTAACTATTCTGATTTTACCAAAATTTTGAAAAATATTTAAGGCCATTACATTTTGATGTAAACTATATCCAATATAGATATATTATTTACATACTAGATTTTTGCTTAATAGAATTAGGATAATATTACTTAATAATTATAATTATTTAATTATAAATATTTAATAATTATAAAATGTATTGATTTAGATAATGCTAGAAAGACATGTAAATCAACATTTTAAATCTACTAGTAATAAAGATGATGAAGGAATAAATGGTAAATTAATAAGGAGAAAAGGAAAAAAATTACGTCTTCGCAAACAACCTTTTAGAGGTAAATATACTTAAATATTAAAGATATTATGTTCTTATAATTAGTTTGATCGTTAAATCATTCTAATTATTTATTTCAGCAAGGAAATTTGATTATTTTGATCAAGCAACAATGTTGGAATTACAAACACAGTTATTTTTGAGCTCACAGAATAGCCAACAAGATTTCATTGACTATAGTAGAAGAGCTATAAAATTTCAACCTAATGTAATTTAACAACTAATAATTATTATTTTTAATGGTATTACAATTAATTTTACTTTTTTTATTCATGTAATTTATAGGTTATTGCTAGAAGAATACTAGAAGGTGGTAAAAAACAGGAAGTGTTGATGCGATGGTTTCCTCCTAATATGTAAGTTTCTTATTCAACAATAAATAATACCAAAATAAAGTATTAGTTATTTTTGTAGGGGTCTTAAATAGTTAACTTTTCTGTTAGCTCTATGTGTAGTAAATTAATAAATTATAATTGGTTCAATGAGAGAGTAGGACTAATTGAAACTCGTATTTCACTACAACCATCTATTCACCCATGCATTTTCTGATCAATTTAAGCTATTGTATGCCCTTTGTTGTTATACTCCCTCATTTAGTTAATTATAGTGTAGGTGTAGGACTTAAAAATCCGAAACTTTATTTATGACGAATAATTACAAAAGTTAATCAATTTGTTTAAGTATAACAGTATTAACTGAAAAAATTTTTAACGTTTGTTTTTATAGATTAGAAGATGAATGGATCACTTGTGATAAAAAAACAAATTTTAATATGATTGAACGTGTTGTACCTATTATGTCAATGACTACGGAAAATCGGGATTCAATAATTAAACTGTTTGGTAATATTTTTCCACCTTCAACTCGCCGTAAACGAAAATAAAAATTCAATATTTTTCTACCTATTTTTGTAAACAATTTCCTTAGTTTTATTTTTCAACAACTCTTGTGATATTTTAATTAAGTAAGTAATTTAATATACCAATGTGTCTTTGCTAAACAAATTTTATAGAAAAATAATGGTACAAATAAGTGCCTGAAAATAATTTTAGATAAGTGATACAAATGTTAATCACACTAAACTAATTGTCTTTTAATGTATACATATCATTATGGTCAGTATGGCGAAAAATTAGAATATTATAGTATAATATTGTTGTCATACACACACAGAGTAACATTTATCTTTACATTAAAATTTGTATTATATTAGTCATTGTGTTATGTAAATACTAGTCTGAAAGTACTCTGTGTGTAAATGGTTTATATTCCATGTATTTTTCTACAAACATGTAAAAGCAGTGACCATAAATGAATCCAGATTCATGCTAGTTGTTTATTTTTATTATCAGATACCCTTTCTTAAATATTTATTTTGAATTACTGTTGACCAGATTCATAAAAAATCATTTATTTTTATTAATGTGTTTAAATATATTTCTTTTTTTCTTTTAAATTATTATAAAAAATACGGACCTTGTTATTGAATCAGATACTGCCTTTCAAGTGCCATTTAAATTAAAATGACTGATGGAACTATTTCTAAGAAATTTACATCATGATAAATATATATAATTTGTCAAGTATTTTTTTTTATTTGAATGACATAATTTTTCTAATTATTTTTTTTAAAGAAGAACATTGTATTACTTGTTTGTAATTATAATTCAAATAATATTTCATGACAGATCTCAATTAACTGTATTTAAATTAGTATTAATAATTTAATTACTCATCAATAGTTTCAAAAATGTATACCATGATGTGTTTTGAAATAATTTTACTCAGTTTATTTTTAATTAAAAATTTTATTCCAGTACTTATCAGAATTTTATTAGTATTATTATTGTTTATTTATAAACAAAATATTTTTATAATTTTTCAAAAAGCATAACTAATGTATACAGTTTAGTTCAACAATTTGATATTCATTAGTTAGAAAATGTGCAGTTATGTATATTTATATATTACATTAAAAATTAATATGATTAGTTTATATTATTAAATATAACATTTTTACTTCATTAAAAAATTTTTTGCTTCCAAATTAATATATGTTGTTAAATATTTTTCTAATATCAAATCACCAAAATATATCTTATAATTATCACCTATGATATATATTATACCGTATTAGATTACTTTTTTACATTGTTGAATTCTATTTTACATATTATGTAATATAATGCTAATGCAATAATATCTTAATGCTGACAAATGGCTTCTATTTTTTTTTAAATTAATTATTTTGATTGAATTTAATCAATATATTGTTTCAAAATTTGAAAAATTTATCTTACCCATAAAAATATCGTATTAAGTGACATCATATTCAATTTTTACTGAATGTATATAAATACACACACTCACAGATAATATATATATAGAATAACTGGTTAAAAAAATGTGCTTTTTAATATTTTATTATTTTAGTATTTATGTACTTTCTTGGTATCTAAAATAATAATAAACTCAAAAATAGTTCAACTAAATCTTTCATTTTATTTTTCAAATAACTTAGAATATAATTATCATTTTATCTAATTTTAATTTGAATTTGATATTTTTTTTTATCATATAAACCTTATTTGATTTTTTAAATTTATTAGAAATATTATTTTGTCATGTTTCAGTAATCTTGATATTTTTAGTCTTAAATATATTTATTTTTATTAAAAAATTTAATTTTAACTTTGATTTACTCATATTATTTTTTAGATTTAACTGACAAAAGTAATACCATACATATTACTTTTTTTTAATATATTATAATTAATTGCATTTAAATTATTAGGAATTACTTATTTTATTTATTTTTTAAATTATAATTGTCTTAAAATTTTATTTAATATTAAAAATACATGGGATATTAAATTTATCACTAGCCAGGTTCTGCTTTTGTTTGTATAAGGTCAATAGTAAAAAAAAATATCAATTTTAAATTCAATTTTCAATTACTTAATTTAATATTAGGGAAAAAATTATCTTACTAATTTAAATTATTATTAACAAAAGAAAAAAAAATAAAACATGCTTAAATTGTATGTATTGAGTCCTTTTAATTGTATGTAGTTTCTAATATTATTAAAAATTTAAACTATACGAGTGAATTTAGTGAAATCTCCAATGATTAATTAGCAATTGTATTTAGTTAATTTTAATTTCCAAATTTTTCTATTTTTTTTTTTTTTGTTTTGCTGTTTTACTTTGTTGTAATGTAGTTTTATTTTGATTAATTTATATATTGCTTTACTTTATACTATAATTCTAGTCTTAGATAAAATTTTAATTTAATTTCCTCTTCATTAGTTATCTTTTTTTAAATAATTTACTCATTAATGTTGGTGTTAATTTAATAATTATGTAATAATATTTCAGAAGTTAAATAATAAAAATATCAAACTTTTACAATATTATCCTTTTCCTACATTTTAGTAAATAGTGTAATTTTGCTATTTATACTTAAAGACTGAATAACACTGCCAAATTTGTTAAAGATCTTTAATGTAGCTTAATTCAATATAGGTAGTTATTATACAACTTTACTAAAATTACATTTTATAATGTTCGATTGATAGACTCTGAATTTTTTGAAGTGTTCATTTTTATTACATCAAAATTATTTTTTAACAATTAGTTTATATTATGTAATTAGATTAATAAATTGTAATAACATAGAATTTTACAAATACTATTATTTTATTTATTTATAAATATATTTTTATTTTTGTAAAAAAATTAAGACTTAACAAAATTTGACAAATTTTGAAGTATTATAAAAATGTATAAAACTATCAACAAATTTAGTAAATTTATCTTACGTCTAGATGTTAATTTGAGGCTTGTAAATTCAAATTGTACCTAAGAAAATAACTGTTATATTAAATTAAAGAATTTCTAGAAATATTTCATTTTGTATACATTTTCTTTTTCTATATAAAATAAATTGTTCTTAAATATTTTTATGAAAATAAAGATTTATTTTGTATTAAAATAATATTTTTAACTGTGTAGTGTCTTATGATATTGGAAAAAAAATATAAACATAAATATTGTTTGAGAAGGAATTTTAACATATAAGTTATGGTGTGACGATACATACTTAGCTGATTGTAAATAATTATTTTATAAATATTATACATGTGTGTATTTTTATACATGTTAAGTTAGTTGTGTTCAATAGTAATGGTAATTATTTTTATTTATAATTTGTAAGAATTTTATTAACATTAAATAAATGATAGATTTAATTTTATGTTTTCAATTTAATTTTCAAAAGTGTTTTCTCATGGTTTTATTTATTGTACCACAAAAGGAGTATGAAATTACTAGTTGTAACAAATGTATATTAATTTAAAAACCGTGGAGCAAATGTAATATTAGGTATTTTTATCAGTTGAAAAATGGTTTTATGCATAATGGATATAAATTATATAAGTTAAAAGATTTCTTTAGTTATTTGAAAATATTTATTTCTACTATTTTCATTTCTATATAAAAATTAATTGAAGCTAAGAAACTTTTTTAAAAAGATTTTTCTTCGGTAATCAATTTCGACTTGTAAATTTTAACTTAAGGTCTGCGAGAACTAGTCAATGGATATTAATTGTTAACATAATACTAACAAGTTATTTTGTAAATAATTTATCAAATACTAACATTAAACCGAAAAATAAATGTACAATTTCCTCAAGAAGATTGAAAGCAATCATTATCTGTTTTGTCCCGGTTTCGCCTTATATATTTATAGCAACTCTATTCCATGATAAAATGTTAATAGAGAATTGTTTTTCACATTTATCTTTGTTTCGCGACTTAGTGAGTTTATTATATATTTTTTTTTTATTTAGCTTTTATGAGCCATTTAGGCTCTTTGCTTCTAACACCAGTTTTCCCCAAACATCTTTTGCGTAGGCTAGATCTAAGTTTCCATTCCAATCCGGCTTTAACTCCTCTGTATCTCTTCTAACTGCATCTGTATAGTTTATTATATTTATTGTTATAAAATTGGAAAATTGTTAGTACCAATACTTGTTTTTTTTTCTGTTTGATCTGTCATTTTTTTTCAAGAAATTATTTAAATAAAAAAAATAAGTTACCTAGGTAATTTTTTAAATTTAATTTAAAATAAACATATCACTATAATATAATTGATTTATTTGGTAATTCATGGGCAATAAATGAAAATAAAAACACTTGACTTTGGAATTATCTTTAAAGTAACTACACTGAAGTAAGTACGGCCTCAAGTAAGTACACTAAGTACACCAATGAACTGAATAGGTATTTTTGATAAATATACCAACTTATTAATAAGATTATTTTTTTACTTCAGTCTACTTTAGAATAGCATAATTCATAAATGTAGTGTAAATAACATTTTAGCATGATAAATGTTATTTATGGAATTAAAATGTTATGAAGAAAATTCTAATATACTTATTACTTAGTCATTTTCTTTTCAATTTGAAGTATTGTATTACTGTATTTTGTTTGATTTTTTATTGAAAATTGTATGTTAGTTTTACAGTTAACGTTACTATGGATCAAACTAACGGTATAGGTAAAGTTAGAGGCAGAGAGAGAGGCTTAAGTCTGGGGCAATTAGCTCGCGAAAGATTTGCAGGACCTCTACCTACACAACCTCGGCATGGAAGTACAAATGTGCCATGAGTACCTGCACCAAGTACATCAAGGCATTCAGTTAGTTTTTTTAAATTCAACATCTGCTGAATTAATAAATTTTTTTATAATTTTAAACTTAATTGGTAAATATTTATACTTATGTAACCTTATTTTTGGATTAAACAATTTACTAGTAAATTCGCCGAAATGGGATCAGGTACCTACAGATAAATATTATATAACATTAATTATCTGCTTGTTATATAAAACAGTACTTTGATAGTATTT